CAATTGTCTTACGCCTTCCCGTTTTACAGATTAGGAGGTTGAATAATGCTGTTGGATAAGCACTGGACTGCTATCTGCAAGACTGGAAGTTCAAACCCACCAACTTCTGGTTGGGAGAAAGATGAGACTTTCTGCGACTATAAAGATTCTGTTCCTATAGCCTCAGAAACCCTATACAAGGTCGCTTCAAACCAAACCCAGTGGCAGTGGGTTTTAAAGTAATGCTAGGATGAGCAGAGAGAATATTTAAACCCAAGGTTTTCTCATTATAAAAAGACCCATCCCCTAAGGAATAGATATGGGATAGTTTGGGCTCTGCAAGGGGGGCAATACACAAGAAGCGGGGAGGGGATGGAAGAACAAGGCAAATGGGAGAACAATTAGGCAGGTTTGAATGGACTAAGTGGGACAGAGGTAAATAATGATGTATGCTCAACCTTGGAACAACAGGGCTCTGGGATACAGGGATTGAGGCATGGTTTGAAGGGGTAAAAGAAGGGAAATAATGTTAAGATGCTTGGCTGTCTTTTGAATCTTGGTTTCCCTTGCCTACTGTTGTAAAATAGACACTTGAGGGGGGAAGAAAGGAATAGCCAGAAACATTACCATAGAAAGTTTATAAGTCCATTTTCAGCTTATAACTGATAGGAATACCTAAAATGGGGCTAGAACTTGCCCAGTGAAGGAGGCTTCCTATGGAGCCTTTGCATTGCATAAGATCATAGGTGGAATCCTGATCCCCATCCAGAATCCTCTGAGGTGGGAAATGTACACTTGAAAGGACAAGCAGACCAGCCTGAAGTGTCTAGAAAAACAGAAGATCCTTCTTGAAAGAAAGGCCAGCAGGAAAAATCAAAAACAATAATGGCAGTCTGATTGATTATTATAAGAACAAGCAAGTTGTTCGCCGGGGAGCCATCAAGGCAAACAGTAGGGTCCATTCAGGGCAAACCCCCTTCCAAGATTGTAGCTCAAGGGTAGTACACAAGCAGGCATGTGGTCTTGCTGGTGACCGTATTGGTCTACTGATAAGGGGAAATGCAAAAAAAACAGCAATGAAGTTGTGAGCTAAGTCCGGCCACATTCAATAGACTCCTGTCAACCTGGGTTGAGACCTGGTTGGCCAGCAGTATGGCAAGACCTGGGGACTCCAGAGGACTAGAGCGTCCAGCTGATAGGAAGTGAGAGGAGATGCACAAAAATACCCATACTTGCAGATAGTACCCACTTGATCTGGCATCAATTACTGGATGATCACAACTCAATTAGAGTAATAAGGAAGAGGAAAAAAGGTGTAATCTGCTATAATTTGATGAACATGACCTATACTCTTGGATGTAGTAACTCAAAAGAGAAAACGAAGCTTTACAGCAATGATCATTCCCACCCACTCAGTACACAGGGTTGACAGGAATGGGCAACTTGAACATTGGCTACCCAAAATGGAGGAGCTACAAAGGCAAGAAGTGACTGGATTACAAGCTTTCAAAAGGGAGCCTAGTTCCAGACGGGGCAGGGGAAGGTAGAATCTCCACTGAGTGGTTTCCAATCTGCCTGAATGTAGTTGATGAAAGGAGATGGAGGATAAGACTCTTGTGGTATAATGGTCAATAATTGTTATCAGGACTGACTCTCTGAGAGTTGGAAATGTAAAGGTAGACATTTTGTAGCAAAAGGAGGGGAGTGATTGACTTTGCAGTACAGGAACAGAGGTCCCTGGGACCATCAAGGGAGAAGAGCGGAATGTGGGACCCTACCCAGAGAAGCAGTGAAGCCACAGACTAAAGCAGATGATGACATGGAGAGAAGGAGCAGCTGGGGACTCTGGACTCAGGGAGGGAGAGGGACTGTGTGCTGATGGCCCAGGGGTGGGCTTGTGGAGTGTACCCTTTCGTTGTTTGATGAAGGGGATTGTAATATTGCCATGAAACAAAATACACCAGGATGAATGTAAAGCTGATGTTCTCCCATGTAAACTATCACTCAATTCACAATAAAAACTTAAAAAAAAAAAAGACCCGCCCCCAAACATCTTGAGTTCCTGTCTCTTTCTCCTCCTGCCCTGTCTAGTTGCATCTCCTAGCTCCATTGAGTCCAAGTGAACCGAGAGAATAATCCTAGACATAATCCAAAAGTCTGAGTTTTAACTCTGCTCTCTCTGGTGGCAGTGGGTTAGGCAGTGAACTGGTAACCTCAAGGTCAGTGGTTCAAACCCAGCAGCCCCTCCTCGGGAGAAAGATGAGGCTATGTATTCCTGTACAGATTTACAGTCTCTTTACAGGGTTTCTTAGAGTCTGTGTCAACTCGGTGACAGGGGAGTTTTATGTCCTGTTGCTTTCCACAGTGTGGTCTTCAATCCATAACTTTGTGAGCTCTCTAAGCCGGTCGTCATTTGCAAAGTAAGGGGTTGGCTATAGGAGTTCCAAGGAATTTTCCGGGTTACGGTTTCTGTAAGTTGAAAAAAATAGCGCATGCAATCGTCTTGTACTTCATGGAAGATGAATGGCCCAAATGAGGGTTATTTGTAAAAATCTCAGACAGAAAGTCTTAAACAGAGAAAATAGTTATAAATAAGCTTTCACAGATGACCAGGAATATTGAGGCTATCATATGGAACTTAAGGTTTTTCTAAATGCTTTTTAGGTAATGATTTCAGAAATCTCCAGGGCTCTGATCTAGAGTAACAGCTGCTGCTTGTTTAAGTATTTACTCCAGAATGCTTTGAAATAGCATAAAAATCTCGTTCTGGCACTATGACACTTCCCGTTTCTGTTGGATCCATTTTAGCCTGCAGTTATAGGACAATTTGATAAAGTATGCTGAAGCTAATCCCGGGGTGTTTTATAGTGTACATGTGCTTCCTAAAGAGACAAGGAATTTTAATCACATACATTTTATTAACTTGGAGCCTCTGTTCATGGTATAAGATGACATCGGACTTTTTATATAAGATGAGCTATATACTTAGGTTTTAGCCATCAGACAAAAGTACCAAAGGGAAGCAGAGGACCAGCATCAGTGTCATGCATCACGTAACATGCATAAAACACAATTTGTAATTCCCAGTTTGGTTCCTGCTCTTTTTTTCTGTATTTTGTTTTCTGGTTTGTTTGTTTTTTTTGCAGATCGGAGTTCGCTTACCAAGACTGTAAAGAGTTTGGCATTAGAACATAATTACTTATGTTCTGATGGGATCGATTATTCTGGAAATTTGTTTTCCAGTGTGCTTGGCAGGAAAGCAGCAGGCCATCTGCAAAGTTAAAGAATGGCTGTTGTTGCGGCAGGCCATCTAGTCAATTCCAACTCACAGCAATCCTGTGTCTCAGAGTGAAACTGACCAGTAGGGCTTTCTTGACTGTAATCTTTAAGGAAGCTGCTCTCGAGGTCTTTTCCCCATGGAATCTCTGGGTGGATTCCAGCCAGCAGGCAACCTTTTGGTTAGTAGAGTACCATCAGGATTCTTAAAGAATGACCTTAGGGATGAAAACAAGGGAATGTTTTCTCTTGGAGTTTGGAATTAGCTGAATAAAACACCTAAGGGCCATAGACTAATGAAATATCACTCAATGGCTGGTGAAGCTGTATTGGAGAATGTGGCTTGTGCACCTGGACAGATGGGGCTTCCTGTTCCTTCTCTTTGTGACCAGACCTTCCCCATACAACAGGGGCAGGACAAAGAAGAAGGAAGATAATGGGGTGATAGGGAATGGAAGAAAGGGTTCAGATGTAGGTTGAGACAGCTTGTGAAGAGCTTTGGATGCCAACGTAAAGGGCATCCTGTTTATGTGTGTAGCATGCATTGGCCCATGGAACACGTATGTATTAATAATGTTTAGCTGAACTTACAGATATCCCTAACACATGATGGAGTATCATGAGTGCCAAATATATCATTCCATGCAACAGTCTTTAAGGATGTTGCCAGAAAGTAAACACTGGATCAGGACAGTTTTTTGATTTGGCAAATGTGTTTGATCTCACATGCGGATTCCAATTAATGGTCAGTGATAATGGCTCCCGAAGAACTGTGTTGTAAAAGATTTTTGTGGACTTGTTGAACTTCTTTCCATATCTGTATATACATGTTGTTGTTATGTGCTGTGGAGTCGGTTCCAACACACAGCAACCCTGTACAGGGTTTCCAAGGCTGTACATCTTTACAGGAGCAGAAAGCCTCATCTTTTTCCCGCAGAACAGATGGTAGTTTCGAACTGCTGACCTTGAGGTTCACAGCCCGATTCATAACCACTATGCTACCAGAGCACCTCTATGTAGGTATACATACATACATGTTTATATTTGTTGTTGTTAAGTGCTGTCGAGTTGGTTCTGACTCATAGCAACTCTGTATAAGGTTTTCAAGGAACAGCTGGTGGGTTTGAACCACCGACCTTGCTTATCCTGCTGCATCACAAGGAAATTCCATATATATGTATGTATGTATGTATCTGTCCATCTATCTAATTAATATATAATATATGTTGTTGGCACCAACTCATAGCGACCCTATGCTCAACAGAACGAAACACTGCCCAGTCCTGGGCCGACCTCACAATTGTTGCCACACTTGAGCCCATTGATGCTGCCACTTTGCCAGTCCATCTCTCTGGGGATCTTCCTCTTTTTCTCTGACCCTCCACCTTAACAAACATGATATCCTTCTCCAGTGACTGGTCCCTCCTGACAATATGTCTGAAGTAGGAGAGACAAAGTTTGGCCATCCTGGCCTCCAGGGGGTGCTCTGGATGCACTTCTTCCAACATAGGTAGTGCTTAAAATATACACGTATAGTTCCATGATCCGTTCATTGTGTCTGCTGTGGATTAAGAAGAGACAAGACAAATGTCCGCTAAATAGTTCCCTCCCTGTAAGAGGCCACATACACAGCACCCACTGTGGCAAAGCTCTCATCTTCTTTATGCCCCACCCCTGTGTTGACGTCTATAACTAATAGTGAGCTCTGTGAATACGAACATTAAAGTTCTTTAACTTTGTTCTAGGCCTCAGTATGGTGGCAAGTTCTGCCCAGGTTCTAGCCGTATCTACCAGCTGTGCAACATTAACCCCTGTCATGAAAATAGCTTGGATTTCCGAGCCCAGCAGTGCGCAGAATATAACAACAAGCCTTTCCGTGGATGGTTCTACCAGTGGGAGCCCTATACAAGAGTGGAAGGTAACTGGGTCTCTGGGATACCCTAATAAATACACTGCTCTGTGAATATTAATGGAAGCTAACAGCAGAGGTGAAATCCTTGACTCTGCAGAGGTTAAGTTTCATTGCCCGGGTCTCTTCTGGTTCATTTTCTCATTCACTTCCCATGATGTGGTTTAATTTTCCACACCTTTTCCCCTCAATATACTTCTTGTCTCCCACAGGTTTAAGCCAAAAGGTTCATGTGTTTGGAATGTTGTTGTGTTTCTAAACTTACCTTTGACATTTTGGCAGTTCAGTCTCCCAGGGATGTTAATTGCAGTTGGTATGAATTGCCTAGACCCCAAACTCATGAAATCATATATGCCCCATAGAGGGACCATAATCAGTAACTGAAATGTCAGATGATTACAGGCATGGGAAGACTTATTTGTAACAAGAAATACACATGTGCAATATACACACACACGAAACCCTAAACAAGACTTGCTGCCAGAGCAGGCTAAGCACTGGGCATCCGATGAAGAGGTTGGTGGTTTGTATCCACCAGCTGCTGCCCAGGAGAACAAGGAGGCCGTCTGTTTCTGTAGAGATCTAGATCCTCAGAAATCCCTTGGAGCACTTCCACTCTGTCCTGTAGAGTTCAAACAAGGTGGAATCGAATCAAAGGCAATTGTTTTGGTCTGGCTTTTCTATACTACCTTCTTAAACCAGTTGTTGTCAAGTTGGTTCAAACTCTTGGGAGCCCTGGTTGCGGGCACTCAGTTCATGCGCTCTGCTGCTAACTGGAAAGTGGACGTTTTGACTCTCTTTCTATGGCAATCTGCTTCTGAAAAATCAACCATTGAAAATCTGATGGCGAAAACCAGAGTTCTTCTCTGACACCCCTGGGACCAACACAAGGGCGTTAGTGATCGCTGTAATACAGCTGTAGGTTGTCATTTACTTTTGTTGTTGTTGTTCTGATTTTGTGTTTGTGGGTTTTTTTGTCTTTTTGTGGATATTTTGTCATTTACTTTTCCATTAGTTTGTTTTTGTTTCAATTAAATGCATACACATTTCTTTTTATTATAATATGCCAATTTAATGTCCTTTTTAATTCAATGTTAGTAAATTGTTAGGGCTCTGATTTTGTTTCCATTATAAAAGCGTTAACCATTATTTCCATCCCTTTGATTTATGGAAACTGCTCTCTGCTCCCTTGTAAAAGGATAAATGTGAGGCCCTGGGAGTGCGTGTGCAGGTGGAACAAGGCTTAGTTTACTGACAATTCATGTGAAATGAGACAGAGGGCTGTTCTTATGCAAAAGTTCATAAAGAAGCAGTGTTATCAGGTGCCAGAAAGGAAGCTAATGTCATTAGAACCATCATGTGGACTTCTGGAACCTCCGAACCAAACGATACAGCCTTTCAGGCCAAACCTCCTCAGGAGTCTTTCTTCTGGTCAGGGCCATGTATCCATCCAGAAGTGTGGGCACAGATGGATGTCAAAGTTCTAAAAGCCTTGTTTTAGAAAGAAGTAACAAAGGACCCAGATGTGTTCATTAAGTAGTAAAGTAGCCATTTCATAACCATTAAAAGTTCTGAAGCAATATTGAGTAGGACTAGGGTTTATTTGAAATCATTTCAGAGGGCAGAATGACGTGAAAGGCAAAGAACCTCTTCTTAGCCATCTCTCCTTGTGAGAAAGTTACCTCCCTTGTCCGATCCTTCTCTGAACCCATCTCCCAGCTTTTTTCTTCAGATCTCTTGTTATTGCATTCATGTCTTCAACATGGTCATTTATCTATATTTCTCACCTACAAGAATACAGTTGTCACAAGGACGAAACCAGTGTCCTTCTGGAGCACGCTTGTGTCACCAATATCTAAGAACAGCATTTGACACAAATTTATTGAAAACCTAAACTTGTTGAGTGCCTGTATGAATGAATGAAGAGATAATAACGCCCCAGATGGAAGCATGTTCCATTTGTATGTAGTAAGCTCTCCATCTCTGGAAGCATTCTGCCAGGAATTGAGTAATTATATATTTCACAAACACATTTTACATTTCCATTATTTTTTTTCCATTACTGATGATTATTTCTTTCTCTCACTCTTTTTTTGTTTCCTTTACTATTGTAGAATGGATGAAAGTATACAGAGTAAATAACTTTCCCATTCAACAATTTATATACATTCTATTCATATATTTTACCTATGATATATGTTGCTGTTGTTGTTGTTAAGTGCCATCTACTCAGTTCCGACCCATAGCGACCCTTATAGGTTTTCCATGGAGAGGCTCGTTAGCTTGAACTGCTGACCGTGCAGTTCAAACCAACTTTGTAGTCTAGAATATTAACCCACAGCGCCGTTCCAGGACTCCTATAATATAAAACAACATCAGACCAATCCATTGGCAGCAGGTCAATTTCAACTCATGACAACCCTGTCGAATAGAGTAGAACTGCCCCCTAGCTGTAATCTTTCTTAAGCTATAACCTCCGTACAGAAGCAGAATGTCACTTTCTTCCACAGAGCAGCTGGTGAATCTACCACCTCACTTTTTGGTAGCAGCCAAGCGTTGTATCATCAGGATTCTGTATACACACACGTATACATATGTACTTATATGATCCTGTTGTTGTTGTTAAGTGTCGTTGAGTAGGTTCCGACTCATAGCAACCTTGTATAGGATTTCCGAGAAGTGGCTGTTGAGTTAAACCGCCAACCTTGCGGTCCAGCACATTATCCAGCAGTGCCACACCAGGACTCCATATGATCCTACAACTAACTCCCTAATCTCAAATGCAAAAATTAGAAGGCATCAATTCAAACATCTTTTTTAGAAAATTCTGAGGTGAGAGCTTATTGTCTCCACATGCTGCATATTTGGGCTATACTAATTTAACTTGTTTCCCATTCAGGTTTCCACTCCATCTTTTATTGAAGGATTTTAGAAAGCTCAATTATTTGCAAACTGTTTACACATTTGTTGTCAAACTGTTGTCAGGGATATCATTCCATGTCGCCCACATAAGGTCTCATGTGAGAAATGTCATCTGGAATTGTTGGCCAGGAAGAACTCTTTTTGTATGAGAATTGGCAGAATAACTTCTTTCTGATAACAAAGAGCTTCATAAATTTTTAAAAATTTATTTCTTTTTGCCAGCAATACCAAAAACTTCTCAGTGACTTTTAATAGTCAATAAAGGTTTTTTTTTTTTTTTTCAACTTTCAGATTTAGTTTTTTTTTTTGCTTCCTCCCTCTTTCTTTTCATAATTTGCTTCTTTATGTGATTGACTATATGCCATGGTTTACTTTGTTTTTCAAAATGCCTCAAAAATTTTTTCTTAACATCCCACAGAAAGATCTAAAATCACCGAGGCCCTAAATCAAGTTCAACAAATGCTGGCCTGCAGGCCAAATCTCACTGCTTTATTGGAATATAATTATCCTGCTCAGTTTATGTCCATGGTTGGCCATAGGGACTGCAAAGTCCACTTTCTTGACTTTCCAACTTAATCTAGCTACCCAAACCCACCAAACATGTGTGTGATGGCTATTACAAAAGATTGGGAAAATGAAAATCTTACCCACATTAACATTGGGGAAGTTGTGTATGGATTGTTAAATTGACTTCCATTCTTAGAAACCACACACGGACATACATGTACCTGTGGGTGTGTCCTCTCCCTTCAAGAACGGTGCCGTCTACGATCATGATTGCTGTCTGTAAGTGAGTTTAGTGCATCGTTTCAGGGAATTTGGCCCTCGCCCTTTGCATGTCCCCTTGACCATGTCCTGTCTTGGTTTCTTTGCTTCTAGATGAAGACCGATGCAAACTCTACTGCAAAGCTGAGAACTTTGAGTTTTTCTTTGCCATGTCTGGCAAGGTGAAAGATGGGACTCCTTGTTCGGCCAACAAAAATGATGTTTGTATTGAAGGGGTTTGTGAAGTAAGAGACTATTTCTGTTTAGGGGTGTGGTCTCACGCTTGTCCTAACTCAGAGCAAATGCACTCCCATGCCTTAAAAGTTGGTGCAAGAGAATCTGTGTCTCCAGAAAGGCAGGTAGCTTAGGGACAAGAACAAACTTATCCACTTGCATGTGAGCACCTTTCCCTGCCCCCACACCCCACCCCCTTCTTGCGACCAACTTTTTCATTTCTTGTTTGCTTTATCCCAACAGATACCGAATGGTGATGAGTACATAGTCTCATCTCTGTAGTGGTTACAAAAATTGGTTTAAATACTAGTATTAAATGTTGATTGCATGTTTATGAAACAGATCCATTATATGATCTGAAACTGGCAAATGGAGTTTGAAAAAAATACTACTTTTTATTTCCCTTTGGGTACCCATTTGCTCTAAGGAGCTCTGGTAGCATAGTGGTGACGAATCGGGCTGCGAACCTTAAGGTCAGCAGTTTGAAACTACCAGCTGCTCTGCGGGGGAAAGATGAGGCTTTCTGCTCCCGTAAAGATATACAGCCTCAGAAACCCTGTACAGAGTCGCTATGAGTCGGAACCGACTCAACAGCATATAACAACACCAACCCAATTGCTCTTTTATTTAGCTTGATCTTTTAAGGACATATCTGTGTATATACATGTGTGTGTGTGTTTGCTAGATGCATTCTACGCCTCCAGGGGTAGAGCTGGCCTGAGTAAGCTCACTTGCCTTTTGTAGCTACAGTGGCTTTGAATCACCATTGTACAGATGAAGCACTGAAGTCTTCTTTAAGATAGGCCACGTGCCCAGTGAAGCATCTAGGTACACCTGAGGAAGGAATTTGAACTATCAGTCAGTCACACTGGAACCTGAGCCAGTTGGTTGTTCTGCCTCCCTAATGTTCTGGAAATGTACAATCTCTGGTGCCTGCTAGTTTTGGATTTTCTCACTTTTTTTTTTTTTTTTTTAAATCACAGCCAGTGGGATGCGATCATGAACTTGGCTCTAAAGCAGTTTTGGATGCATGTGGTATCTGCAAAGGTGATAATTCAACTTGCAAGTTTTATAAAGGCCTGTACCTCAGCCAGCATAAAGCCAACGGTAAGAGATGTTCCCGCTTCCTGGCAATTGTGGTGGGCAAGCTTGAGTCGGAGCCTGTCAGTAGCCCCCCCGGTACACTGCGAGGGTGACTCTTGTCTTTGTGCAGGAGCAAGGTTGGATAGGTGGGCTCTAGTGCCAAGGGGTCTGTCAGCACCTTAGCATCTTAAAATGTCTTTCAAAATGAACTGCCTTTCTACTTTCTACTTTTTGCTGACCAGGCTGCCAAATGCCCCATGTACACTTGGTAAGCAATGAATTTATTATAAATCCTAGATGATCCATACCTACAACACTGAGTAGTAGAGGCAATTATTTAAACATCTTGAGTAAGACTCGACTTTTGAGCCTCATCATCTGAATATTCCTTCTAAAGATACATGGTTCTAAGTTTCCTTTAATAAATATATACACACATGCACACACAGTCCTGGTGTGGCACAGTGGGGTAATGCGCTGGACTGCAAGGTTGGTTTCAATTGCAAAATGAGCAGTTCAAACTCACTAGCCGCTCCTTGGAAACCCTGTATATAGAGTTGTTATGAGTCAGACTGACTCAATGGCACTTAGCAACAACAACATGCATACACACACACACACACACACACACACACACACACACCTATATAGCTACATTGTTTTTAAGTTTCATGAAGTTATCGTGACCCTATATAGGATCTCTGAAGCTGTGAATCTTTGCCGAAGCAGAAAGCCTTATCTTTCTTCTGTGGAGTGACCGGTGGGCTTGAACCACTGACGCTGTCATTTGTAGTCCATAGCTGACCTTGTGGTTCACAGCCACCACACTCCCATAGATCTACATTCGTTGTTGTTGTTAAGTGCTACGAAGTCAGTTCTGACTCATAGCAACCCTATGTAGGGTTTCTGGGGATTTAAATCTTCACAGGAGCAGAAACCCTAATCTTTCTCCTACAGAGTGGCTGGCAGGTTCAAACCACATTTGAGTACCAGCGCCCCCTTAACCAAACCATGGACGTTGTGGTTCAAAGTCCAGAGCTTTTTTTATGGAGCCAATGCATTCCCATATGTATGTATATATCTGCATGTTGTTGTTGTTAAGTTCCATCGAGTCGATTCCGACTCATAGCAACCCAGTATAGGGTTTCCAAGGAGCAGCTGGTGAGCTTGAACCACCAACCTTGCAGTTCAAACGACTTTGTAGTCTGACGCATTCGCCCACAGCACCACACCAGGACTCCATATATCTGCATACACACATGCAAATTATATGTCATAGAGGGCTTCAAGAAGTGTGTGTAAAATTCCGGTATCTGAATTCCATTTTTCCATGAACATTTTACAGTCTCCACATATGTGTGTGCGTGTGTGTGTGTGTGTGTAGTCCCTGACTTACAGTGTATTCCAGGTATAACAAGCCACACTTATGACTATTAGTTTCAGATTTGGTTTTGTTTTGTTCGCCCATCTTATCATTAGTAATATACACCACATACAATGTCTCTGTGTGTAATTTTCTGCTGTTCCTATTTTCATGACACTCTCAAAGACAAATTAAAGGTGAGATTTATAAAGACACTAACCCTGAAAAACAATAATAATGAAAACTCACCTTACAAAAATGAGGTATTCTACTTAACATTAGAAACCAATTTATGACAAAGCCATCAGAAAGGAATCCCATCATAAATCAGGGACTGTCTGTGCAAAATGCCTCTGCCTTGTGGCCTTGGTTTGTGTGGAAAGGAGAAGAGTGTATCTTAAGTCACATCTTGGTAAAACTTTGGAAATGCCGCATGGGTTTTCTCTTTCCAGCGTTTCTCCTACCTTTTAGAAAATGAAATCACTGGTCATTTTCACTTCATAGAGTGGGAATGAATCTCAGTTCATGATTCAAAGCCTCGTTCCCTATAGAAATGACATGTTTCTGGGCAGTTCTAGTTCGCTTTCTCCCAGACACAGTGTGGAGCACAGAGCTGTTGGACTCTTTTCTTTCAGAGTACTATCCGGTGGTCACCATTCCAGCTGGAGCCCAAAGCATTGAAATTCAGGAGGTGCAGCTGTCGGCCAGCTACCTTGCTGTACGCAACCTAAGTCAGAAGTATTACCTCACAGGGGGCTGGAGTATCGACTGGCCTGGGGAGTTCACCTTCGCCGGGACCACCTTTGAGTACCAGCGCCCCCTTAACCACCCAGAACGGCTGTACGCACCGGGGCCCACAAACGAGACACTGGTGTTCGAAGTAAGCCTCTTCTAGTTGTTCATTGTTCAGTACCTCTTGCTGAAGTTCTAGTGGTGATTGCATTCGGAGCTAGCTTCAAGAGTCCTTTCACCTTCTGAATCTGAAGGGAAGAGTGTGGGATGGGACTCCATTTTGGGGGGAAAAGGAAGGAATGCAATGTGGATCTCCTGGCATTTTTTACATCAAAAGGCCAACTTTCTACCTTTACACTTAACTCATCCACTTAACTCATCCATAGCTTCCCTGTAGCACAAAATACAACTGCCCATAGGGTTTCTAAGGCTGTAATCCTTATCAAGTCCTAGTATGGCACTATAGGATAAGCACTGAACTGGTAACTGAAAGATCAGCAGGTAAACCCCCCAGCTACTCTTGGAAATTCGGATTGCCAAGAGTTGGCACCAAGTCAACAGCACACAACAACAATCTTTGTGTAGGCAGACTTTCACATCTTTCTTATTTGGAGTGACTGGTGGCTTCCAACCCCTCACTTTGTGGTTAGCAACTGAGTACTCAAGCCACTGTTGTATCAGGGCTCCTAATACAAGGGGGCTTCAAAAAGTTTGTGGAAAAATGGAAGTAGTTATTTTTAATTTCATTTTTCCACCGACTTATAAAGGGTCCTTCATGCACTTAATTTTCATAATCAACTAAGAATGTAATTGTTGCTGTTAGGTGCCCTCAGGTCAGTTCTAACTCTTAGGGATTGTATGTACAACAGAACCAAACACTGCCCTGTCCTGTGCCCCTCCCACAATTGTTACTACACTTGATTCCGTTGCTACTGCGTCATTCCATCTCATTGGGTGGGGGGAGGGTCTTCCACTTTTTCTCTGGCTCTCCACTTTACCAAACATGATGTCCTTCTCAAGGGATTGGTCCCTCCTTGTGACATGTCCAAAGTATAAGAGATGAACTCTTGAGATCCTGACCTCCAAGGAGCATTCTGTCTGTACTTTTTCAATACAGATATGTTTGTTCACCTGGCAGATCACAGTGCTTTCTGCAGTCTCCTCCAACACCATAACTCAAATGCATCAAATTCTTCTACAGTCTTCCTTATTGATTGTCCAACTCTCACATGCATATGAGGCAGTTGAAAATGCCATGGACTGGGTCAGGCGCATCTTAGTCCTCAAACTGACATCTTTGCTCTTGCACACTTTAAAGAGGTCTTGTGCAGCAGATTTGCCTAATGCAATACATTGTTTGATTTCTTGACTGCTGCTTCCATGAGCAGCTCTGGTAGCGTAGTGGTTACGAATCAGGCTGCTAATCTCATGGTCAACAAGTTCGAAACTACCACCTCTTCTGTGGGAGAAAGATGAGGCTTTCTGTTCCTGTAAAGATTTACAGCCTCGGAAACTGTAATGAGTCGGAACTGACTCCACGTCACATAACAGCAACAACAGCTTCCATGAGCATTGTGGATCCAAGCAAAATGAAGTCTTTGACAACTTGCATCTTTTCTCCATTGATCACAGTGTTATTTATTGGTCCAGTGGTGAGGATTTTTGTTTTCTTTAAGTCGAAGTTCAGTTCATACTGAAGGTTGTAGTCTATGATCTTCATCAGTAATTGCTTCAAGTCATCAGAGAACTTTTTATATTGGTTCCAGTGTCTATGTGTCTGCCATTTGTAGATTCCATTGTAGCTTTCACATAGGTCCAACTGACCTACAAGACGGATTCATGTAGTAGAACATACAATTTGCTTGAGCGTCAAGAGTTGTAGCCATGCTAAACCACCTCACTGGACCAGGTTGTATTTTTCGCAGAAATAAGAAAAGAAACAAAAAAAGCTGGCTGTTGTTAATACCCATAATAAAAACAGCTAGCCGCTCAGCAATGACTCTGCAAGGCATTTGCCCTAGATACATTTTCTTTTGTTCCCACTGTGTCTTGGAGTTTGATTTTCCCATTTCTATAATCCTGCTGTTGTTGTGATGTGCTGAAGAGTCAGTTCCAACTCATAGTGACCCTGTATAGGGTTGCCTAGGCTTTAAATTCTTCACGGGACCACAAAGCCTCATCTTTCCCCTGCTTTGTAAAAGAGGGCTGATTGTTTGTGCTACAGTGAAGTGATGGGCCTCAGATCATGTAGAAATGATATGGCTACCACTTACCAAGAACTGACCTAACCAGATATGCATGTCAGTCATTTGGGGCTTCGATTTCTCACCTACAAAGGTGGGAGAGAACACCCACCTTGATGACTTGCCAGAAGAATAAGCAGTCAGGCATAAAGAGAAGTTTAAGATTTGTGTAACCCACACAGCCAGGAAAAGGCTGAGCTGGTCTAAATCCTGAATTTGTCTCATCACAAAGTGTCCTAACTACACCCAGTTCAGTCACACGGCCATTCTCTTCTCAAGTACAGGAAACCTGCAGCTAACGTAACTATTTTCTCGTTGTCATTATTATTAAGACATATTATACTCAAGAGACCCTGGTAGTACAAATGGTTATGTGCTTGACTAGTAACCAAAAGGTCAGTGGTTTGAACCCACCCAGTGACTCCATAGAGAAAGATTTGACGATCTGCTTTTGTCAAGGTGGACCGGGAAGTCCTATGGGACATCTCTACTCTCTCACATGGAGGTGCTATGAGCCAAAAGTCAATTCAGTGGCACTTCACACCAACCACTGAATAAACTAAGTTTTCGTCTGTGTGTTGTTAGGTGCCATCAAGACAGCTCCAATCCCAATCATCTCATTGGGGGATCTTCCTCTTTCTTGCTGACCCTCCTCTTTAGCAAGCATGATGTTCTCCTTCAGGGACTGATCCTTCTGACAACATGTCCAAAGAACAGAGAGTATCACTATTCTCATTTCTAAGGGACATTCTGGTTGTACCATCTTCCAAGACAATTTAGTTGTTCTTCTAACAGTCCACGGTACCTTCAAAATCCTTAGTCAACAACATAGTTCAAAGACATGAATTCTTATACAGTCTTTCTTGAAAATGGATTATCTTACTTTCACATACATATGAGGTTAATGAAAATACCATGGCTTGGGTCAGGCACACCTTAGTCCTCAAACTGACATCTTTGCTCTTGAACACTTTAGAGAGGTCTTGTGCAACCACTTTGTCTAATGCAATGCGTTGCTTGATTTCTTGATCACTGCTTCCTTGAGTGTTCATCCTTCATGGACTCTTCCCACAGATGTAGTCAGTTTGGTTCCTGTGTATTCCATCTGGTGAGGTCTACCTATAGTTGAGTTTTATGATGTTGAAAAAAGGTATTTGCAATTAATAAGCCATTGGTCTTGCAAAATCTATCATGTGATTCCCTAGCATCATTTCTGTCACCAAGGCTGTAATTTCCAACTACTGGCCTTCCTCTTTGTTTCCAATTTTTGCATTCAAGACACTAATAATTATAAATGAATTGTGGTTGCATGTTTGAACAGTTGCAGAATGAAGCAGTTGGTAGAATTCTTCAGTTTCATCATCTTTGGCTTCAGTGATTGATGTGTAAATTTTAATAATAGAGGTATTGGAGTCCTGCTATGGTGTTGTAGGTTAATGTGCTAGATTGTAAAGTTGGTTTGAACTGCAAGGTCAGCAGTTCATGCTCACCAGCCTCTCCTCAGAAACTCTATGCAGGGTTGCTATGAGTCAGTACCAACTTGACGGCACGTAACAACAACAACTGGTCTTTCTAGTAGGCATGTGGATGTTGGCACGGACAGCATTGTACTTCATAGTACATCTTGAAATGCTCTTTTTGGCGGTGCATGTGATGCCATTCCTTTTCAAATTGGTCCTCACATAGTAGCAGTCCGTTTTAGCTCACTAATTCCTAGGGTATCGATCCTTATGCATTCCATTTCATTTTTGATAGCCCCCAAATTTTCCTAGATTCATATTTTGTACATTCCAGGTTCTAGTTATTTATGAATATTTGCAGTTGTTTCTTTTCATTTTGTGTCACGCCACATCAGCCAGTGAAGGTCCCCAAAGCTTTGCTCCATTCACGTCACACTTTGAGGAGGCAGCTCTTCCCCCGTCATATTGTGAGTGACTTCCAACATGAGGGACTCATCTTCTAGTACTAAACCTGTCAATGCTCCATTGTTATCCTTAAAATTTTCAGGGGCTTACCATTCAGAAGGGTCTGCCTCACCTCACCCCCTTCCTAATCCCTTAGTCTGGAAGCTCCTCCAAAGCCTGTCCACCAGGGGTGACCCTCGTGGTATTTAG